TAGAGATCGGGGAGGGCTGTATGCATGGCACAGCCACTTCCCCAAACCAGACTGCCAGAAGATTACCCGCGTTTTGGTTAGAAGGGAAAAAAACCACGTCCTGTGTACAGGCCAGCCCTCCTCTGAGAGCGTCCATCGGCTGCGCTGGGGCCAGGGGCCCTGGAAGGCCTCCTACCCGATAGGGACAAGGCCAGCGGGGGACACAGGGGTTCAGCATGTCCATCAGTAAATACACACGTGGCAGCTTTCGTCACGGGAGCACGCTAAGGCCAGGCTGGCAAAAGTCTGGTCCCCCACCGGGGGTACACAGAACGACAAACATGAAGCGCACCTCTCTGTGTCCCGTGCCATCGGGTGGGTAAACAGCCCCGTGCAAACAGCGCTGTAGATAATGCTGTAGATGGGATGGAGTAATTTGTCCCTAATCTTACTGGAACTGTCCTGTTTCAACAGGCCATCCTTTCACAACCTGCTCATTCATCTCCCCTTTCATTTACTTCTCAATGTTCCAATATTGCAAAAAACCATTACTGTATTTTAAACTTCTTGGCCATGAGTATGATGGCAAAAGCCATTTCCCTTTGCTCACAGTCACAGCATCATCTGCCTTCGGTGCTGACTCCACCTTTGGGGACTGTCAAGGTCAAGTCCCCCATCCCGTCTCAACTCGCCTTCTCCCTGCTGCCCTGCGCACCCCAAGGTCCTGGCTCCGTCACCGTGAGCTGGCTCCCAGCCAACCCATCACCCCACTTCAGTCACCTCCTTTAAGTGTCCAAAAATATTTCTAAAGACGAGCAACAGAGAGCCAACATCAGAGCCCAGGGCTGCTGGACGCCTTCCCCAGCATAGCCCCGTAGCTGGATGAAGGAGCCACTGCCGGGACTGAGGCTTCCCTGGGGACAGGCTCTGGTCCCCCGGCCACCAGCACAGGGGAACGACTGCTGTACCAGGCACTGGAACACAGGGAGAGAGAAGAGACGGCAACAAAAAAAATCAGCCCTTGCTGTCAGGAGGTGACCCGAGACCTGGGGGGACAAGCACAGGGTCACCGCCGCCCGGGCAGCGCAGGGAGGCTGCATTGGCATGCACCGCGCAAGGCCGAGGGAGACGAGAGACTCTGCAACATCCCTGAGCTGTCAGCCTGCAGTGCTCATCGCCTCCGGGAAGATGGATGGCTCCTTCCAATCGTTTACATCAAGCCAGAGAAAATGGTCGCCTGCAGAATGTCAAGCAGAGCATCAGGCATGTGAAAACCTCAGAAACTCACATTTCAAAGCCCGGGGTTAACCCCAGCTCACACAGAATTCATTCAGATTGAAGAAGCTGGGCACCCCGACGTGGTTTCCCAGTCCAGGGGTCAACAGCCTCCTCCCACCAGAAGCCTCAGGGCTGCTCCAGGTTTCTGCAGCAGCTGCGTCTACGAGGGCTCACAGGCAGGCGAGGACGTGCTCACGGCCAGCGTGCTCCTTGTGCCCCGCTCCCCAGACAGACACCAGCCAGGAGGGGCAACCCCGGGGGAAACCACAGCCAGGCGCCACGCAGCAAGGGCCAGCAGACCCGGCATGGCTGGTTCCCTCCCAGCCCACCAAGCCTCCCCTGTGGCCGCATTCAGCCCACCACCCAGCTCAGCACCCGGGGGGAACATTCCCTACTCTGCTGTGAGCACCAGGCATCCACCTAAAAGCCAGGGAGCGTGCTGGACCATGGCCATTACCAGCAGCACAACCTCCCTCCCACGAGGGCTATGGCCCTGGAAGCCCAGGAGGTCATGGGACTTTGGGGAAAGACGTCCTATTCCACAAGAAGCAGCTTTCACACCCAGTCCCTGACTCCTCTCCTCTGTAGGTACAGCATTTCCTAAGAGAGATCATATCAAGACATTAACAAAGAGGAAACTGAAGTTCTAATTACTGCTTTGTTCCTCATGTGACCCTGGGCTCCCTGCTAAACGTGTGCTTCTCGCCCTACCCTGCAGGCCCTCCTCCGTCCCCCTGCAGAGTCCTTCTCCTGCCCACTGGACCCTGGTGCATGTTGCTGCTGTTTCCCAGAGGTATTCAACATTTGTAGCGAACATCAGAGCAACAGCCATGACCACTGCGAGCTCGTTCCAAATCAAGTGCCATGTAGGACAGCGTCCAGGCGTCCTGCCTCCCCGACCAGGCAGGATCAGGCGTAGGCAGGAACAACAACTGTGCACCAGCCCCCGGGCGAGCAGCCGTACCGTGCAAAGAGCAAGGCAGCAGACCCCAGGTTTCAAAGCTGGCTAAAAACAGAGTTAAGACTGTACTTAACTCTGGGCAGGGCAGGCCAAGCCTTTCATTAAATGGCCACTGCTAACCAGGAGCAAAGTTCTCAGGAGGCG